TCAGCCAACCCCAGAACTGGAGTCCCAGCCCTTACCCCCACCTAGCTTCCTTAAAAGTTCCCAGCTACTGTTACTGTCCAGAAGACTGACTTCAGAGCTAGATGAAGAAAGGGTCATGGCGAAGGTGGTAGTCAGGGGTAGCTTGGATTGGAGGACATGAACGGAGGTTCTGGAAGGGAGAGAAGAATCAGAGGCAGAGGTGGTGATGGTGGGTCAGGGAGGCCCTCCCAGCAGAGAACTGTCCTCCTTCTCAAGGTCAGGACTCCAGTCTCCTCCCCCTTTATCATCCAAAAGTATAAAGATACCTCAGTGACTGTATCAAGTGAAGAATGCTCAATACTGCCCCTATAAGCAGCAACCCAGATACCCATACTACTCCTACCAACCCAGGCTAAATCTAGGATAGTGAACTTTGGTCCCCAGTGCCTGACGTGTGTGAGACAAATTCCCTCCACTGCCACAGCACCCACATCCCCTGACCTGAGGAGGTCCAACTCCTGCCGGCCATCCTGAGCCTCTATCCTGGCAGCCTCCTGGGCGTGACCCTTGCCCTCCTGGCCACTTTGTAGTTGCTCCAACATCTGCTAGACCATGGTCCCAGGTTGGGCCAAACTTCTCCCTCTCCAGAGGGAAACCCCCACCCCATGATTGGCCTCTTCAGCACACTTGGAACCCTACTGTGGGCAAGGACAGTTACTCATGGCCTGGGGAGAGGGATTGGGAAGAAGAGCTTTGGAGGGAGGTGGAGTCAGCACAAGGAAGAGAAGGAAAGAGATGAAAGGGAGAGGGTGTCCTGGCCTGCCTGCAGAACAGATAGACAGGGAAAGGAAGGAGCGCTCATGGAGAGATATGAGGAGACAGATACAATCCTCATCCTACCTTCCAGCTGCAGGCCTGAACCTGCCGCCCCTCAGTCATCTGTTTCAGCAGCAACTCCTGGTGCTGGCCTGCAGATGAGAGAGAATGTACAGGGGCTGTTCCCCAACCTCTTTCTTTCCCCCTCCCTACCTTTGCCCAGCCTGGTGCTAAAAACCGAGACAGAAGCATTCTGGTCTAGCTGTTAGGAAGCTTCCAAGCTGACTGGGAAGACTATACTCACACCATGAAAGGAAAAGAGCAAAACAGCTTTCCAGAAAAGGAGAACAAGAAAACACCACCCACAATCTTTTACTTACTCAGTTGGTCCTGCAGCAACTTCAATTCCTCCTGCAGAACCTCTGACTCCTTCCACAGCAGCTGCCGCCTGCAGGGATTACAGCAGTGTCATTCTAGAGCCAACCAGCAAGCCCAGAGGGAGGAAGCCACCAGCCTCCCAGAAATTCAGAGGCCTGAAAAAGGAAGGGTCTTACACATCACTTACTCATTCTGCAATTCCTGGTAAAGGCCACTGGTAGCACTGTACTTTCCTGGTCCTGGTTGCTTCTGGGCTTGAGCCTGGGCCTGCTCCTGCACTTGGCTCCGAAGGCCCTGCAGTTCCCTTCTAAGTCCCTCCAGGCCCCTTCTAAGTCCCTCCAGGCGTTGCTCAAGGAGAAGGACCCTCCTCTCTGGGCCCCCCTGCAGCAACCTTAGTGATGCTGTAGTAAGACAAGTTAGGGATCAGCCCCTTAACAACTTCCCACATGAGCCCAGAGACTCTATTTGCAAATCAAGACTCATGCGCACACACAAGTGTGCATCAAAATTGTTTGCATATTTGTGAGGGTGTGTGTGTAAAATAACTGGCCAGCCAGATACCTTCCAGGGCACAGATCTGGTATTTCTGATGCTCTCGTTCTTCCAGAAGGCCCTGCACAGCCTGCCTTAGTGCCTCAATCACCTACGCACGCAGAAGAGCCACATGAGCAACTGTGTAAGGGGCTTCACCAACCCCACACGCACGTGCCCCCCCACACACACACTCCTAGGGTTCCACACCTCACCTGCGCCTGGGATCTAAGTTGAGATTGGAGAATAGTAACTGCATCCCAGACAGAGGATGGACTGTGGGCTTCAGCCCAGCTCAGTCCCTCTGGGACAGTGGGAGGAGTCTTCAGAACCCAGGGCTGTTGAGCTCGGACTCCAGACTGGGGAGGCAAGTAAACAGGGGAAGTCCACGTACCAGCCAGGTCCCCTGCTGAGGGAGCAAGGAAGAGACAAGTCCAGGGCCTATCTGTATGGTGGAACAGAGTTCAGGAAAAGAAAGAGCTGGAATTTGTAAGAAGTAGGAAATTGTACATGCACTGGAAGAAAGCAGATCCTGGAAAGTGAGAAGGCTTGAGGATGGAAAAGGGGCACCACCTACCTGCGGTGGAGACCCCAAGGGGATATAGCCGCCGCTACAAAATAAACAGATGCACAGTCCAGTGAGCTGTCTGAGATCCCTTAACCTGATCCGCAGACTGGGGGTTTCAGGCGCCCCCTCACCTTAATTCGGGCCACGTTTCCATCAGTGGCATTAAGAAGCACGTCGAGCTGCTCAGACCAGCTCAGGCTCCTACTCATATCCTGTGGCAGAGGTCTGGCTCCTGGAATCTTGTGCCCTTGCTCTCCCAGCCAAGGATACCGAAGCACGGCCCAGGAAAGACCACAACCTCACATCAGAAGAAAAGGGTGGGGAAGCGGTAATAGGGGTATGGATGCAATACCAGACCAGAACTGAGACTCTGGGAACTAGACAGGGGAGCGGCGCTCTTGGGGAACTGAGGAAAAAGCAAAATACCTTGATAAGCGGATGTCAGGTGGGAGTTGAAGGCGCCAAATATTGCAGACCTCCCCAGATCCTGGACACAGACGCCATCGCGCCGAACCGGTGCCAGAGAACTATTGCCGCCACGGGTTTCAAACCCTCTGAGAGGTCGGGAAAAATCAGACTTCGGAATGGCTACCGCAGTGCCACCTGGGAAACTGAGTTCGCCTCTCGCGGAAACATCCGGCGATGGAGGCGGCGGAACTACGTTTCCCTAGAAGCAATAGTGCAGTCACACCCCTTGCCGGGAAACCGAGTTTTCCTTACTCTGTAGCGTTTGGTTCTGAGGACCAAGTAAACTACGTATCCCAACATGCATCACGCAGAGTCAACAGGGTCCCGCTGCTTGTCCCGGTAGATCCTGGGAAATGGAGTCCAAGTTACCAAGAAATTAACGGCTCAATTTAGCCTAGAGACTCCATTTCCCAGCAAGCTTAGCGTGTAGCGTGTACTATGGAGCCGCAAGTCGCAGAGCTGAAGCAGAAGATTGAGGACACGCTGTGCCCTTTTGGCTTCGAGGTTTATCCTTTCCAGGTTGGTTATCCCTCCTGCGGTGCTAGGGCGAGGCGTGTCATTGGTCTCGGTCCGACCGCCGTGAGGACCCGAGAGTCTTCTGATCTTCCCTGAGAGCCTCTGGCCCGTGTCCATCTGACCGACTGGGGCAGGGTGTCAGTGGGGACTTGGGTCAAAAAGCTAGAGAAGCGGGCGCACATTTGTCCTTTTACGCCCGTGTAATACTGAACTGATAAATGAGAGACACCAGATGATCCAGTAACCTGTGTGGCCCTGATTATTACTTATATAGTTTATAGGAAGACAGGGACACGTGGAGCCAGAGTCACCTTGGAAGCTTCCAGAGGGAAATGGGAGAGAGCACGGCCTAGAAAGTTTGCATATCTAGGATTTAGGTCAGCTGAGGAGGGAAGGAATTGAACAAGGAAACAATTGGCTGGTTTGTTTCATCTACCAACAGAAGGATAATTCATGATGTAGCCAGTCACTACCTACCGCTGGGCTGGGTAGAAATTCTGTGCACTCGCCTGGCACAGAAGTCTCAACATCACCACCCCCACACTTATTTACATAGGCCCATTTCCCTGTCATCAGTGCTCCCTGCACTGAGCAGCATGCTTGGACACAGAGCTAAGTCAGCTTGAGTTCTTTGCCTGACGCTTAAGAAACAGCCCACTCCCCACCCTCTTTACTGAATGTTGGACAGGATGTAGACGGAGAGAGATAAGTTGGGTCTAACTTGAGCAAGCAGACTTCCTAGGGAGTATAGGATTGAGCTATAAATCTGAAAAGATGGATTGAAAAGGAGGAGGGTTGTGTATATCCCAAACATCAGAACAACTTGAGTAAAGGTGTGGAGGTAGTGGTGGGTGGTGGGTGGTGGGCATGGGGGAGAGTGAGGACGACCTAGTACACTGAACGGAGACAGCAGCAGCCCTACCAGATGCGCTAGGCTCCAATCTCACTTCCCCAACCCCACATCCAGTCAGCCATCAAGACTTACAGGCTGCATCTTCTAAACCTCTCCCAAATCCATTTCCTTCCGTCCCACCCATCTCTGCTCTGGTCTAGGCCACCATCCTTTCTCATTTGGATTACTGCAGTAGCCTCCTTCCTGTCACCTTGGCTCCAATCTGTCCTCTACACTGCAGCCAGATTGATCTTTTAAAACTGAAGTCAGTTTACTCCTTATGTCTTCTATGGCTCCTTATTATTGCCAAATTAGATTCACCTTAAATTGGTGTTCAAAGACAGTCACAATGTCACTCCTCATCTCTCCACCTTCTTTCCCTCTACTCCCCTCTACAGACCCTTCCACTAGACAATTTGCTTTTCTCCAAATATGCCCAATACTTTTCTGCCTCTGTCTTTGCTTATGTTGTGACCTCTGTTTAGAATACACACCAGATCCACCTCCTGATGTTTGCCTGTCAGTTTCCTTCCCAGCCTTCAAAATTGAGCTTCCGCAAAAGTGTTTCTAATTTCAGAGGATCTCATCTGGCCATGTCATTGTACAAATCATTGTACAATCAATTTCTGTTGTTCTTAGTTGTTCATGATCTCTCTGCCTCTCTAAACTCCTTGTCAAATTCAGAGTTCCCGATACACACACATCAGTGAATTCAGTAATAAGATGGAGGCTGGGGCAAGGTGTATAAGGCCTTGAATGTCAGGCTAAGGTAGGCCTGGCTAAGGCATAGGTTGACCCTCCTGACTTAGGGGCCAGAGTGCCCAGCCTGTTCTAAACTTTTTCTTTGCCCCAGGTGGCATGGTACAATGCACTCCTGCCTCCAGCTTTCCATCTGCCCCTGCCCGGACCTACTCTGGCTTTCCTGGTACTCAGCACACCTGCCATGTTTGACCGGGCCCTCAAACCCTTCCTGCAAAGCTGCCATCTGCGAACACTGATGGACCCTGTGGACCAGTGTGTGGCCTACCACCTGGGCCGCATTAGACAGGTGGGCAAGGCTCCTGTCCTCCCCCAGCTCCCAAGCCTGTGCCTGCTTCCAGCTCTTCCAAGCTGAATCATGATCTAGACTTAGAGCTAGGAGCCACTTCCCAGATGGAATGATAACCTAAAGGCAGCCTTGACATTCTGTGATCATTTCTCCCTGCTGTGCCTTCTCCAGGTTTAACCACCTTCCTCTGGCAGCCCCCTAGATCTGAAATCAATCTCACTCACCTAACAGATGGGCGACCTTTATATGAGCCTCCAATTAGGCTTTCCTTAGCCTCCAACTGCAATAGGAATAAGCCTGACATCTCCAGACATCCCTCTCCTGCCCCAAGCATTATTCTGTCTTTAGGGCTTTTGAGGACAGAAATATCCCACCACACAGAAACATATACACAGACATACTCATACACGTTTTCGGTTTCCCCACAGCTGGGCTATGTCTTCCTCCACAGGAGCTCTTGAGAACAGGGCCAAGTCACCCATCACAGTGGAGATTTCTGAGCAAGACCTTGTGTGTTTCCCTTCAAACATGGGCTCTCCAGAACAGAACTGTAACTTTCTCCACACTGGAGCCTCCCTCCCCCAGGTTAAGATCATGTTCATCCCTTCATATGGGACTTGAGGACAGGACATTAACACAGAATTAGGGCTCCCAAGGTCATCACTCCTCTCATGTTGACAGGAGCCTCCATCTTGTCCTCTATCCCAGAGCCTCCCAGAGCTGCAGATCGAAGTCATTGCTGATTATGAGGTACATCCCAACCGACGCCCCAAGATTCTGGCTCAGACGGCAGCCCATGTGGCAGGGGCTGCTTATTACTACCAACGAAAGGACGTGGAGGCTGACCCCTGGGGGACCCAGGTTAGAGGACAAGTGTGAATGGGTGGGTACTGTGTGAAAATGGTGACAGCCCCTCCCACATTCCTGCCTCTTCTGGATGGAGGAGTTGGTAGACACAATCCAGCACAAAGAAGCTGTGCCTTAGCCACAGGTCAGCCCCACAGCCTACTTTCTGGAGTCTACCTGGGGACACGTCAGGTCAGAGAACCTGGTATGTTCTTAAAACAATGTCTTACAGGGCTATTCCAGGATGGAGGGGGCAGAGCAGTGATCAGACCAGTGGCATGACTGACAAGTTGATAGAGGCTCAGCCTAAGGAGCCCTTCCTCATGGTCAGAGTGAGCTTATGAAAAGGGTTGTTCAGGAGAGGGCAAGTCCAGGCACAGAAAGGACAAGCTTATATGTAGGCAGGAGGAACCAGTCCCTGGAAGACATCATGCTTGTTAAGTAGAGGGTCAGCGAGAAAGAGGAAGACCTTTAATGAGATGGATTGACACAGTGGCTGCAACAATGGGCTCAAGCATGATTATGAGGATGGTGCAGGACCAGGCAGTGTTTCATTCTGTTGTACATAGGTTCGCTATGAGTCAGAACTGACTCAAGGGCATCTAACGTGGAATCAGCATCCACTGAGTGATTTAAGTGAACAAGACTAGCTTGCAGTAATGGTGAGTGGACCTGGTGTCAAGGTGATCTCTATGACCTTGCTTTTCTTTATCCTCTCCCCAGCACATATCAGGTGTGTGTATACACCCCCAATATGGGGGCTGGTTTGCCATCCGAGGGGTGGTACTGCTGCCAGGAATAGAGGTGCCAGACCTGCTACCCACGAAGCCCACTGACTGTGTTCCTACAAGAGCTGACCGCATCACTCTGCTTGAAGCCTTTAACTTCCATTGGCGTGACTGGAGTTACAGGGATGTTGTGACACCCCAGGAGCGCTACTCAGAAGAGCAGAAGGCCTACTTTTCTACTCCGCCAGCCCAGCGCTGGGCCCTGTTGGGCTTCACTCTGCCTGCAGAGGAGCATAGCCCAGTATCCCCTGAGCTTCATCCCCTTACCACACTCATCCCTAAGCCCCAGACTTCCAGCAGAGTACGGGGCTGGCTCAGTCCCAGAGTGTCACCAGCTGCATCCCCTGGCCCTTGATACCATTCCTCCTCTGTGGGACCCCTATTTATGACAATGGTACTTGCTAAAACTTTCTTGGCTTTGACGAGAGGTTTTATTTAGGGTACAAGATGACTATTTTTGATAATATAGGTAAAGTTCAGGGAAGTTAAGGTTTGGTTAAGACAGTAAGTCAAAGATCAAGACAAATCCAGCATTCCCACCTATCTTGGAATATGGGAGTATTAATTGCCTGTTACCATTTCTTCACAGTGTACCAAGATACTAGTTACAGAGTCTGAGCAGCAAGCATCCCCTAAATAAAGAGTACCCAGATCATGGGATTGTTGTGTGAAGAATGAATAAATTCACGTAAAGCACTATTGAACAGTGCCTGGCATATAGAAAAGTGGTGAGTTGGCCATTATTAAAGGCTTCAGGAATCCTGCACTGCTGCTCTTAGCTCTAGTCTGGGTTCTGGAGGACTGGGCAGGTTAGCGTAGCTGAAGGAAATAAGTGTATGGAAGAACACCCCATGACACACTGAAGGATCCTCAGTTCTGAATCTGTCCTACAGTCTCAAGGACCCATGAGGAACCCAACTTTTCCCCACCAGCAACCCTCTCAGGATAATGATATGGATGAGGGTCAAAAAAAAAGGACCAACTATCCTCTAATTATAAAGGCCTGGCTTCTACTGCTTAAAACAAGCCGATGAAAACCTAGATCTCAACAGAGCATTGTCCGACTTGTTTGCTTTGGACGACTCATCATCAGAAGGTATCAGTCCCTGGAAGGGAATGTCTGGTGAAATGAAGGGCCAGCGAAGGCAAAGGAGACCCTCGGTGAGATGAACTGGCAGAGCAGCCACAACAGTGGACTGGAACACACCAGGGATCCTGGGGATGATGCAAGACCAGGCACCCTTTCATTCTGTTGTATAAGGTCACCATGAGTCAGAAACCACTCAATGGTAGCTATCTATCCTCTAATCAAGGCTATAACCCAAGAAAGGTGAGATGTGCTCAGGACTGTTCTGCTACTGAAAGCCCTACCCCAAGGCCACCAACCCTGTGTGTGTCTCCCTCTTCCTTTCAGTTCCAAAGGTACAGGAGCCTACAACTCTGTTTTTACAGAGCTAGCACCAGGCATTTAGCAGAAGAGGCTAAGCCTCTGGTTCTCACACAGCCCTCCCTACAATCGTGTAAACGGAGATACCCAGGCAATCTCATAGGGGTCTTACCTGCAACCCAGTCTGCAGTGTAAGTTCAGTGCCCTGGCCAACACTATTCCAGGGCTAGTTCATCTCCAGATGTAGTAAAATAACATACGACACCATAGCTCAGTTACATTCCCTATGTTTACCTGCATTTCCCCTCAATATAATTTCCTGATTCTGACGTAGCTCTCACTCATTTTCCCCTTCAAGAGGGAAAGCAAAGAGTAAATTTTTCTTAAAATCAATGGTAAATACCCTCTAAAATGAAGAAACATCAAAGTCTTGGTTCAAGTTTAATAGGAACTACAAGAAATCCATGGGCTCATGCTCCACTACCGGTACATGATACATGTTAGCTGGCCCACAGCACAGAGCTCAGGCCATTTCCACCAGGGTAAAGAAAGGCTGCCCTCCCCAACCCCTGCAGAAAAGGCCTATACCTATTCACATATCAGGTCTCAGCCAAGTATAAGGCTTTGTATTTTATGCATGAAAAGAAGTACAAAAGGTTTTTGTTCTCAAGGCTGCCCACTGCAGGCCGGCACTAAAATGGCCCAGCGCTCACTTCTGCTTGGAGAAATACTCTTTGCTTTTCTGGACATCAGGCTTGATGGTATCACTGCCAGGCTTCCAGCCAGCTGGGCACACTGTAAGAGAAAAATGCTACTCATCAGTAACCAGCTCAGTGGTGGGCACCACCCTCCTCTCATGAACGAAGGACCACCTCAAAACCAGATCTCAGCCCAAGGAGCCTGTCCTGCAATCTGTTAGAGATCATTCAGCCTTTTTACTCCAAGGCCAACTACAAACATAATTTAATCCTCACCAAAACCCTACTGTACTATTCTACTGAATTTATTCATGAGGTACACCTGAAATTTAAAGTAACAAGAGTTTCAATAGTTGATGCTGTGTTCTAAAAATAAAGTCTGTCTAAAAGCAAATATGGCAAAATATTAAAGTAGGTAGACAAATTGGTATTAATAATGTTCTCCATACTTGTATGTGTTCTTCAAATACTTATTTAAAAAATAATAATAATAATTTAAATGACTTAACCTAACTTCTCCATACCCACAAAAGAAACAAACTAAAAAAAAGACAAAGCTAGGACTAGGTCCCAGGTCAGTCCTTGAAAGCTTGTATTTCTTAAACCTTTAACATTAAGCTACTATTTCCCCTTTGGCAGAAGTTTAGAGATCTGAAGGCAATAACCAGTCTGCCTCCTCAAGAAGAGGATACCTACCCAACATCTTTCAACTCTGCCAAACTAGATAGCCTGAACTCCACAGAAGGGCCAGGTTGTCTCACTAAGTAAAAATACCTTCTACTCTAAGTAAAAGGTCAGGGTTTAGATCTTTCACACACTATGCAGAAAGCATAGCCTTCAACCATTTCCTACAATGCTGAGCGAGCTATACTCCTTGAGCTAGCCTGAGGAAAGTGAGGCAAAGAGAGTTCAAGCCATTATCTGATTTGCTGTTTGTCTTCTACAAAACATGTAGGCACCAAAGTCCAGTAATGGAGCAACAAGAGTCTCACTTGCTCAAGTAAGAGAAGGAAGCCCCTTTATATTGGAAGATGTCATATAGCCGTCAGAGTCTAAAACCAGCTCTCTGGGCACAACGTATGGATGGAACAAGAGCTAAACAGCAGACCCAGCTGCCATTACTTTCCTGAAATCTCCATCTAATTGTTATGTAGTTATTTGTGCTAACACCGAAGGGTTAAAATACAGGTCCCTTAGCATCAACAATGGAGCCCTGGTGGCGCAATGATTAAAGCACTTAGCTGCTAACTGAAAAGGTCAGCAGTTTGAACACACCAGCGGCTCTGAGGGACAGAAGACCTGGCGATCTGCTCCCGTAGAAAAGCCAGACAGAAGCTTGGAATCAGGTATACTAAAAGGGTACCAAAAAAACACAAAGCTTTAGAATAGCCCAATTGTAAATCATGACACAAAGAGCTGGGCCTCACAGCTAAGTAGGAGGAATAATGAACCAGAAAGGATGACCTTGCTAACTCCATCTCCTTGGCACTTGGGCTTCACAGCACTTAAAACCATACCAGTTTTAATGACAGGCAGAAAGATCAACACTTAAGAGAAGTTTATAAGAATCAATATGGAGCCCAGCAGAACTAGCAGAGTTTCACATAAACCAGCCTTTTTAAAAGTGCAATAGAAAATGACACCATTCATAGTAACTCCAATATGAGAACTACTCCAGCACAGAAGGCCCGAAGCAATGTCTTTTTCAACATCTTTAATTACCTAAAAAAAAAAGTGAATTTGGATCCCAATTCCACCATTTACAATGAATAAATGGTGTGTTTAAGTATTGGTTTACTGGTCCTTAGCAATAGCGGTATTATTTGTCAAATGAACATTACAGCATTCATAGGCTCTCAAATGGGGACTATTATATTACATGCCATAAAAGACTGTGCCAGGACTAATGGGATAGGAGGTAGCAGAAACCAGTACAGAATATGAAGAAGCAAGTTTTACAGTGTCACAAGCTTGGGTCCAAAGAGTCTAACCTATATGCAAGGCCCTAGGGAAGTCCAGGAAATGGCCGACTTTACCACTCCCCCTCCTTCTGCCCTGTGGCAGCACCTCATCCCCCCACCAGGGGGCAGCCTCAGGTGTCTGTCTACTCCTGCAATCAGCCAGGCTAAAGCCCAGACATGCTTCTGCAAATGGTGCCTCCTGGTATCAGTGCTCACTGACCCTATTATTCAGCCTTTCACTCTAACCACTTTTGGGTCCCTCAAACACAAACCACTTATCCAAACTCTTAACAACTTCATCTCTTCACAAGATCAGAGCTGAAATGAATCTTAGAAGGCTACTCTGAACTGTTCATCTTCCAGAGAAAAAAGTTTAGATGTAGTAAGGGAAGAAATTTGTCCAAGGTCATGAACCAAACCTACCTGGGCCTTGATCTGAAATCAGTAGCATTTAATCACAATTACCTTGTCCATAATTACATTAAGCTTGGGATGGGTCAAGACTCCCACTCTCCTACATACCCAAAACCAGGTACCTCAAGAGCTGAGTCCTTAAAAACTAAGCCAACTCTTCATTAGGATAAAATTGTCTGACTCCAACAACAGATACAAAGAGGAAAAAGAAAAATCAAAAAGCTATACAGCCTTACAACTCAAAAGTTGAGATCAAATGGGGCTCTACTTTACCACAACACTGCAACAAGAACATGTAAGGACAGAACTACTATTTCTGGGGCAAAAGGAAAAGAAAGGCTCATACTCTAGCAAATGCTACACAAAAATCAAAAGTTGAATGTGCTTGGTCATGTTTAGGTTTTATAGGGACAGACTTATAAAAACAATGCCTTTGATCGTGACAATTCCAGAATATAGGTATTTCATCGAATCCTCCCCACTTTTTAAACATTTTTACATTAAACATTTATATAAACTTGATATACAATAACTGATTGTACAAATACCATCACTGTACAACAGAATGCATTTAAAAAATAAAAAAAGTATGAAAACAGATGTGTTAACTACATCTATCTACCTATTATCTTTTGCTAAGTTATTATCTTAGTCCTATTTTTATTTTCCAATTTTCAGAGCATATATATTACCCTTTATGTATTTTTAAAACCCCAGTAAAAATAAATACTGACTAGAGGGTAAACTCTTCCCACCACACTTGTCAAAAATGGCACAATTCATCTCTAGATGCAATTCTCAACCTTTTGTTTTGCTCCAACATACCCAGAGATCCTCTCCTACACTCCCTGTAAAATCTGCAGCCGTGAGTGATTCTAAATGAGCAGGGTAGAAGCCAGGAGTATTTACTTGAAACAAAAAACCTTTATATTCTTCCCAAGCTTTTCCATTATCCCCACCTCCTTGACCCATAGTAATACACAGAGATTTCTATTTTTTGATGAGACATAAATCACCCTTTCTTTTTGTATCTGACAAACTTTGTTGCGCCACTTTTCCTACCCTACCACCACGATTCTGCTGTCTGGTCACCAGACATCTGGCTCACCTTCCCCGTGTTTGTCCGTGAACTGGAAGGCCTGAACAAGTCTTAAAGTCTCATCCACAGAGCGGCCAACAGGGAGGTCATTTACAGTGATCTGCCGGAGGATCCCTTTATCATCAATAATGAAGAGGCCTCTGGAAGAGATTGAAGGATTGAGGGATGAGGCAGTACAGGTTTAGTAATTTGCTCAGTAAATGGCGCTGGTCTCCAAGACCTGAAGTGGCCTTGCCTTAGTGAGGCGGCCCCTGCATGAAGAATGGAATGAGGCAAGAGTATCTGCAAATCAGGGCTCTAGTCTTCTCCAAATAAATGGCTCTCAGCCAATCCAACAATTCTCCTGATGAATGTCAGCGCCCCCAGCAGGTATTTACCTGAATGAGATGCCTTCGTCTGCCTTTAAGACCCCATAGTCCTGAGCAATAGTGCGCTTGGAGTCTGATACCAAAGGAATGTTCATAGGTCCCAGCC